TCGAGGAAAATGGGTTAGCATTTTTTGTTGAAAATCTGGGAACCCAAGAATAACATGGAGACTTTAGACAACCACAGAACTAACTAGAAGAACCACAGAAAATGCTGGAATAAAATCCTCGCAAAAGACCTGAAAGGCATTAGTAAATCTTACAAAAACCTTTGAAAATCCTAGAAATCTAGTGGAAAACGTTACAAAAGCTAGGAAAAACCAAGGGCACTGGCAGGGACCAGGCCGCGACCAGCTTGGGACTCGAGGCCGGGACCATGCTTATTTACCAGGCAGGCATCCTGTCAAAACCTTTGCAAAGCGCATGAAAGGCATAAAGACAACAACGGAAGAAAATGGGTTAGTAATTTTCTTTACAAATCTGGGAATCCAAAAAGCAGCACGGAACCTTTCTTTATAAAGACCTAGAAAAACCAGGCATCCTGTCAAAACCTTTGCAAAGCGCATGAAAGGCATAAGTATAATAATAGAATATAAGGCTAAGGACTAAGGCTAAGGCTATCAATCAATAATAACGTCTCACCCCACGAATCGGGTCGGCGGATTTGACGGCGTGCGATAAATTTGATGCCACCTCAATTGCTGCCACCGTTCCTCAAAATTTTCCCTAAGGGCATTTAGTAAGCAATACAAATACATTATGTTTAAATGTTTTAGCATTCATATTCCTCGTCATTTTATTCATATATATCATTCCCTTATACAATGTCCAACCTTGACGTAAAAATATAAACAACATATCCTCGTCATTTCATTAATATATATCCCCTATATATATTTTTTTATATATTACATTCCAAAAATAATGCATCCCTATATTTTTCTCCGTTCATTTATTCCATTTCTAACAAGAATCCCATTTAAAAATCGAGATATTAATCCTTAATCCACCTAGCTTCCTACCAAATTTAGCATTATATATATATCCCAAATCTACAAAATATACATAATTTGCTAATTATCATATCATTTCCAATATAATTGGCTTCAAATACAATAACAATCAAAAATTATGTATTATATTTTTAAAAATTATCGTATATATTAATGTATTCTATTCAATATATATTATTAAAATGTTTCAGAAATCTAATACATCCAATTTAAAAATTATATAAAATGGATATGGATTCATTCATAAATGAAATATTAAAACCCAAACGTAATATAGTATATGTGCGTTGCATTATAATTGTAATTATCGATATTTTGATGTCCATTTATCCCATGTTTTTTCTGTCCTCTTCTGTCGTTATGCGCACCTGGAGGCAATGAATCATTTGTGAATCGGGCAAAATGTGTAGATAAAGGCCGCACAAAGTTCTGCCCTGCGTTTTGCAACCGACAAAATGTTATCGTACACCCGAGAGTAGTTAAAATGAATTGTTGGCTCTCGATCAAAATGAATCGAAATGACACTAGTATGTTGACGTATGTTGCTTATGTTACCTTATTTTCATGCATATCTGGAATGAATAGACCAACGATTCACATCATGATTGGGTGCACCAAATGCGCTGTGGGGATTGAGTGGAGGATCCTGATAGACTGCGGTAGGGTCCGAACCCAAAGAGTCAAAGGCCGCTGTTTTACTTCGAGCAGCTCCTCGTTGGGAGAATTAGCCAAGCAAATCGCGCGAACGAAACACTGACATGTTCCTCATATTTGCACACAAATAAGCACACCTAAAACTCAATTGTGCACGTGTTCACTTCAACTAATTAATCCCAGGTGTTTTGACATACGACGTCCAGCGGTCCATCTGGCCGGCGGCCTCAGCGCAATGGAGAAGCCGTGTAGTTGGCCCAGTCTCCCCAGGCAGAGCCGGTGAGGCCATCCTGCCGGTGAAAACCGCTCCGTTCACGGAGCGCGGATGTTTGAAGACGAACTCGCCATGAGTTTACCACAGGTAACCATGAAACACGACACTGTGAGGACTTTCCATGGCTTCGCCAGGTGAACGACATGATTGAATGATCAAATTCCTACACTTTGGCCCTCAACTCAGCAAAAAGAATGGAATATGAAGAGAATCTTGTTGGGAGCTTTAAGAGAGGTTTTACATCGTTTTACATGTGGCCTCACAATTTGACCGTCCCTAGTCTTCTACAGATACAATTGTTAATCCTTTTTGGTAAGCCCAAGTCGATGCCCAGTCCTAGCTAGCTGGTTCGGGTCCCTGCTTTGACACATACAAACCGACTTGATCCCATTTGAGCAGAAAACCAGAACTCTTTGAACATCTTTGAACTTTGCTCCGTTCCTTAGGCAAATGACCCGGGTGATCACCTTCCGCAGTTCTTCTGCGACCCCGGTGTGTTCTTCTTAGGCGCTGAGCAAAAGAGGCGCGCACCGAAGACACATCAACACTGTAGACTGTAGAGGTGAGTCTGACTAGTCACTAGTCTTAGAGGTAGCTGAAGTCTAAACCTTGCTTTAAACAAAAATAGAAAACACATCTGCCTTGGGTGTCTCAACTCCAACCCTTCCAGGTTACCCTGGCAAACACCCCTGTAATACACCTCTTGTGCCGTTTGGAGCGTGGCTTACGTGGCAGTCTTGAAGTTTGATCTGATCGTGTTTCAGTGTTACTACCGTAGACCGTAGTACGCGTGTGTACACGTTGACACTGTGTTAGTGAGAAGTGTTGTGGGGTCGCATGCAATGTGCTGATGGAGTCGAGCTCTTGTGTTTTTGATTGATCGTTCGAATCGTTTCTTCATTCGAATCGAGCTCTGATCCGGTGTTGACTTTGAAGATCCGTGTGCGGTTTCCACGGACATTATGAGAGATGCGTCCAATATCAACAAGCATTTAAACTACATCACATCAGGTTTTGAGACCGGCAATCCCAAACAAGAAAACACACACCGATCACCCCGCACACCGATCACCCCGCACACCGATCACCAATCCACACTCGGCTCCTGGAAGAACATGCCGATGATGGCCATCATGGCCAGGCGGCCATTGGCCAGCTCGGCCGAGAGTTTCTGGGTCTTCTCCTCATGCGGGTGACACTGAAGGGCCGATCGCCTTCGCTTTTTCGGCCTTCCTCGTCTGAATCAGATGGATCAGCCCATCCAAAGGCTCAAAACTGCCTCCCTGACTTGCGACACCATGTCTCCCCCATCCCGGCATCCCCCCCTCCAAAAAACACCGAGACATTTCTTTGAGGGCCACAATGGATCGTCACATGTCTTGTCACCCCGTTGTCACCCCGTCTTCTCCTCCGCCACAGAGGACGTCAGCACCTTGAAGCCATAGTCCCCCGGTGTGCCGGTCTTGTAGTCCTCGAAGCCGCCGCTGAACTCCACGAAGCCGAAGTAGGCCGCGATCTGCGCCCAGCCCGCCACGGGAACCTTGGCCACCGCGGCCAAGCCGTTGGGGACGTCAGCAAACTTCAAACCGGCAGATTGGGACAGGTAGCCCGGCCTCAGGTAGCAGAGCTGTTTTTCACTTGCAGCATCTTTTCACGATGTGTTTCACACTCGCGCATGAGGCTCTAGAGGTTGGTCTGGGTCAAAAAAAGGTGTTCATTGGCAACATACTGCAAATTGGCCCACTCTCTTATGGTTTGTCTGTACATTGTACATGCACTCAGGCAAAGACAGCTTGCCGGTGACCTCAGGGGTGATGTAACCTTAGTCAAGCACGAGTGTCACTCGAAGCGACTGCGCCAATCATACTTAAGTTATGTTTTCTGTTTTCGAGATGCTTCAGTGTTGTGGGGCCTACACGCAAAAAATATCTATTGAATTGACAATAGAATGCAATATAAATGACATGTTTTTTTAAATGAAAGTGGATTAAAATGATTAAATCACAGGTTCTAGACTCCATTAGACTCTTAGAACACGGGCCATGCTGTCGAAACACCCATGGTTGCCATCATGCAGATTCGGCCGTGCTTAAGCTCCACAGATCGTCGGCGCTTGAAGGCTGCAACGTCGCCATCAGCAGTGAACCCAACAGGGTCCCAGAAACCGACTGGTGCTTGCACACCAAGCTCACTCTCAAAGGCAAGCCAAGCAGATCCCTGCTTGATGGCAAAGTCTCCCCAAGGGCTGCCGGTCACACCATCCTGCAAGGGGTAATCTGAAAGCCATAGCTACCAACCCTGTCCCCAAGGATACCTGTTCCTGTTCACGTCATCCAACCCTGTCCTACATAATAACTCATGTCACGCATTTGGATAGCATCAGCTGATTCTTCCCCCAGTCCTGGAAGAGCATGCCCATGATGGCCACCATGGCCAACCGGCCGTTGGCAAGCTCGGAGGCAAGCTTGTTCTGCTTGATCGTGGGGTCTGAGGAAGTGAGCACCTTCCATCCAAAGTCACCTGCAGCACCTGGGCTTCCAGGTTTCTGGTCCTTGGAAACCTCGCAGAAGGCCATGTAAGCCAAAATCTGACCCCACCCAGCTGCTGGCACTTTAGAGATAGCGGCCAAGCCATTGGGGACATCCGCAAACTTCAAGCCCAATGAAGGAGAAAGGTAACCAGGGAATTTTCCAGTGATCTCCGGAGTCATGTAGCCCATGGTAGCAAGCATCGCAATTCGGCCGTGCTTGATCTCGGTCTGACGACGGCGGGCATATGCCTCAGTGTCACCATCAGCTGTGAATCCAACGGGATCCCAAAAGCCGAAAGGTGGCTGCACACCAAGCTCGTTCTCGAAGGCGCGCAAAGGAGATGCAGTGT